TTTTGTGAAGTGTTTTTTCAATTTTAATCTAGGTTTGTGTACATTATGGGTGATTATACTGTTGCGTTAGGTTGTCCACTGTGGTTTACATTATTGCCATAATTTAAAAAACTGTCCAGAGACATTTTTTCCCTGTGCATTCAGCAAGCCCTGCTGGCACCACCTGGCTCAACAAAAGTCATATTTCAAAAGTGAAGTAGCTGGGTGGCATAAAACCTTAGCCAAACAGTGACTAGATCCAATCAAATGCAGTCACTGTTCAGGTGTTCTAACAGCCACGGGTGCCATTTGTCTGAATACATTAGCCAGCAGGGTAGATTCCTAAACTAAAGAATGTGGATGGAGAAATTGAGTGACTTCTCTCATTCAGCCTGGGGGAGTTGAACAAGAGAAATCTACACATTAGACATGTGTGCTGGCAAAAAATTATTTTTCAGTTCATTTCGGATTTTTCGGGATTTGAGTCCCAAAGTTAATTAGTTTTGGTATTCGGATTCGTCCAAATTCTATGTTTCTTTGAATTTCGGACGAGGTAAATGATAATTACGAACAAATGATCGTTGCAGCAAAGTGACATTAAATGTTTTTTTTCTTACTTTTGACAGTCCACAAAAACAATAATTAAAAAAAATGTTTCCCTCCCCAATCCTTACCAGGCCCTTTAGGTGTGGCAGGAATGTTAGGGGGGACCCCAACGCCCAAAAAAATCCCCACGCTGTTTTTTTTATTTTACCATTTACAAACGTAACTAAATTAAAAATTTGAATTAAGTTAGGTTGTTCTTGAATTTAAACATACTTTTTTAAAAAACAGCGTGCAGTCCCATTCCAATTCTGGCAGGATTTTAGGGAGAACCCCAATAAAAAAAAGCATGGGATCCCCCTAAAATCCCTTACCAGACCCTTGATATGAGCAGCAGCCTGGCAGAAAAGGAACAACATGGGGGACCCCCTGACAAGGCACCCTGTCCCCATGTCGAGACTCCCACAACCACCGGGCCACAATCCTGGCCCGGTGGTTGTGGGAGTCTGCGGGCAGGGGGGCTTATAGGAATCTGGGTGCCCCCTTTCATAAAGAGGGCACCCAGATCCCCCACGTCCCCCGTGAATGATCCCCCACCTCCCCCGTGAATGAGTAAGGGGTAGTTGTTACCCCTACTCTTTCACCAAATACAGTAAAACAGTTAAAAAACATACCACATCGTAAAACAGTCCTTTATTTGAAAAAAACCACAACACAGGTTTATTTAAAAAAATGGCCATCGATGTAATCCACAGATCAATCACGTCGTCCAGTAATGTAGAGCCACATCAATTACAACGGACGACGGCCGGCGACTCGCCAAAAGAAAAAATACCCGATGATCCACCCATTTGTTTACATTCAGTGACGTAGGAACGTGCTGTAAAACGCCCAGGTGTGAACCAGGCCTAATGGAATGTAAACAAATGGGCGGAACAAGTTCCCTATGGTTCCTGTGTGTGTTGTAAAGTAGCCACCGCTCCGAGCTCGCTCCCTTGATGGATTACAATCTCAATACAAATTAATAAACTAAAAGTAAGATTGTAGTCCATCACGGGAACAAGCTTGGAGTGGTGGCTACTTTAAAACACACACACAGGGACCATAGCACCTGCAGGTGGCGCTGGAACCAGGTCCTGCGCTCACCTGCAGGTGTTTCCAGGCAGCCAGGAGCTGTCAGTTACCAGACCACTGGGTGGTGCTGGAACCTGCAACTCCAGTGCTCACCTGCGGGTGTCTCCCAGCAGTCAGCGATTATTCAACACCTGGTGCTACCTGGGAGGGTATTTAATCCTTCCCTGCAGTCTGGACTTTGGCTCAGTATTGTCGCTATGTCCTGAATCCTGGTGCCCCCTAGTACCCTGACCTTTGCCCAGTGGCTCCCCTTGTGTTACTTTGCTCCCTGGGTTTACTTGTCCTGTTACCTTGTTGTATGTGTTTGTGGTTACATGTGGGTGTTGGTGGGGTTGTTTATGTTTTGGTGTGTATAATAAATTGTATATAAGCTCATTGGCATTTGTCTGGTGTGGTCACGCATTTGGTCCTCCCGTGTGGGTACCTGCATTCGGTGTGAGGACACCCTCGCACGGTACCCTGACAGGGACCATGGGGAACAAAAAGAATCACCCTCCAGAAGGAAGGACAGTGTCAGAACCAATTCAGAGATGGTTACAGCATCTACAGCCGAGCGAAACACAAATAAGCTACATTTTTGTTAAAAGTTAAGGTACTTGAATGCATTTTTAACCCCTTGCCGTCCACCCATTGTCAAAACACGGGCGTCCAGGTAGGTGGACATGCATGTAGGTGATTGTTTTTTCTGCAGGAGCGTGCAGTCAGAATCCAGACCGGGAATGTAAACAGCCGTTACTGGCTGATATATAGCTTGCTGCTACAGAAAGAAAGGGAAGAGCACATGCTTATGGAACCACAGGTGCCAGCAGAACCACAGCAGCAAAAGGAATATCGGTAATGAGCGTGCTGGAAGGAGCAAATTACGATGGGGAGGATGCTGACGCTTTCCTTGATTTCCTAAAAACGCTTCCTTGGCTGTTATTAACAGTCAGACATTCTGGTGAGTGCCCAGTCATTGGGGGGTGTCTTTTGATTGCACGGAGGAGCACCATCGTATTGGAACACTGATTTGTTTGAGATTTAATTTGTTGCATCTGCACTTAATTGGACTTGGAGAAAGTTTTTTCTCTTTCTTTTTCCCTTTTTTTCACTTGAAAAAGTCATTCACATTTTCACCAATAAGGATTGGATTTTTGCTGTGGACTGATTGTTTGGATTTATTATCTTTACACATTTCACTGGTTCCCAATAATTTATGTTTTGATTTGTTATAATAAGTGATATTATAGTTTTACACAATATTTTATTCACTTGTGGGGAATTTTTATATATTTTTTTATATTGCATATGCACAACATTGGATGGTTTTTGGCGCTGCACAGTTTATTAAGGATTGATATATACAAGCGTTCGGCCAGCTTTACAGCTGGCCAATCGCTTGTATGACCGTGCATAGTGCGGCCCTCTCTGCTGCCGCTGCCGGTTATCCCAGGCTCCGCTTTCTTCCCTGTGGGCCCAGAACCAAGAACACTGGCACAGCAACTATTAGTACTGAGAAGGAGGAGAGATCAGCATTAAATAAAAAACGCCTATGTGCGCAAACAACAATTATGCCATACATGTTACATATCACCGCAAACGGAGTGGGAGCAAAAATTTTAGGGCCATTAATCACTGATGACACTAATTGTAAAGCTTGACATGTTTGGTGTCAATTTACCTGGCGTGACCCCATCTTTTATGTTTTACCAAAAAATTGTGTACTGATAAATGTTTGATAACAGAGAAAAAAAACTATTTTTCTCAAAATTTTCGGAATGTTTTTTGTTATATAGTAGAAAATAAAAACCCCTGTAGTGATTAAATACCACCAAAAGAAAGCTCTATGTGTCCCCAAAAAAATGGTATAAATTTAATTTAAGTACATATAAATGTCAGTTAAAGTACTACAGTGCAGAATAATAAAAACTGGCTTGGACAAGAATTGGGTTTAACACCCTGCAAGTGGTTAAGATTTAACTCCTGAGTTTAGTGTCACTTTATTGTTCTGAACATGGAGCAACCATAGAGTCATATCTACATAGATGCTCTGATATGGAAGATCTGATTGCCTGTCCATTTATTTTTAGAACAAGAAAATGTGCCTCCAAGTTACTCCCTGTGAATGTTAATTATAATGGAGATGATTCATGAAAAATGGTAAAAAGAAAACTGGAGTTGTCCATAACAACCAGATTGTATGCTTTATTTTCTCAAGTTTTATGAAATGGCTCTATTCCAGGTTTCACAAAGATATCCTGCCAACATCAGAAACATGCCAACATCAGAAACACATTGAGGATACAAAAGGGAGATCAAAAACGTTTGATTTAAACAAAAAACACGTGACCACCCGTGAGAATCCTGCAATGGAGATCGAGGAACTGACCGTTAGGTCACGTGAGTAGATCTTCTGTTCGGTTCACACGAATCAGCAAAACCAAGTTATCTATATATTGATTTGAAAGAACTGTCCCCCTGTATAGATATATATGGTGAAAAACTTTCCAACACTGTTCACCAGAGAGAATCGAGCATAACCAACCATGCACTGATTAACACATCAAGAAAAGTTCTAGCCGGCATTGATTGCCCCTCTCTGATAGAACTAACCTACCGTAGAATCGAATACCACACCTAAAAGAAAGATACCGATAATTATATGGACACTATCCAAGAAGCTACTATTCACCCAAGTTCAAATATCTATGAATTAGAATCCAATCCCACTAGAAAGCTGCCATAGACCCATCCAATGTCGACTCGAGACAGGTCTATGAAATATACAAAGTAGCAACATATGGGACTTGAAACTTATCAAGATATTTATGTGACTGGTATATAGCTCAAGGAGATGCCGCTTTGGATACACTTAAGTATCTAGATCCTAAACCGCAAATAGATATTCACGATCAGGATAGTTACGTGTACAGCCAATCAAGGGTCCATATATCCAACCAACTACTAATCATAGTCAGTTTGACTTGCCATTGGTTTTTAATTTGTTGACAGCAAGTTGTCGGCTGTGTGTACTCTATCATCTGTATTTTGATTAGAATAAAAGTTTTTTCTTAAAAATCACAACTGTGATTTGTCCCCATCTTTAGTTAACCCTTGACTTCACTTGAAAGACAGTTCAAACCCTCTGTTTTTTGAGGTTTCACAAAGCAGCCCTGACTAAATTTACATCATGTTGCTGGTTCTTGGTGGAGTCATTCTTACAAGCACTGGCTGAATTAATAGAAAAGCTATATATGTGTTTTCTGCAATAGGTACATTTTATTGACAGCACTCATGTTCCTTGAGTGTGCCTTTTTATGTGTTTCAGGAGCTGACAAATGTTAGGACTTTAAAAAAAGAGAACCCTATAATCTTCTCTCATGATATATCTTGGCTAAGTCATCATACACCACTTTGTGTTGGTCGTCCTGTTGGAAACACTGCTGTATAGCATTTAGAATGAGGCCCAGTCTTCGATCAAGGGCAATAAGGTGAAGCTCTGACAGGATGGGTGAGATAGGGTCTGCAGACAGAGACTCGCGCATGACATCGCTCAAGAGATAAGGATCAGTACCAAGGAGTTCAAGCCTCTGCAAAGTGGACTTCTTGATCCTATAACACAGAAAGAAACAATATGTTATAACCTCCATTTATGTGTGTGCAACCTTTTCAGTAACTCTCTACAGACTATGTTTTCTTCTATTAGCTTCCTTTGATCACAATAACCATACTGGGGGGAATTTATCATAGCAATTGCCCGACACCCCCGCCGTGTTTCCCGGGCTCTGTTGCCCCTCCTACGGGCCCGGAACTGGCTTCTTTGGTGTCGGCGGGAAGCTGGGGAGGAGATGAACGAACCTCCGTTCGTCGATTCTCCTTCCCGTTCTATGGGACTGGGAGCGATGCAGATTGCATCACTTCCGGTCCCATAGCTGTCATTGCTGGGCTCCTGAAGCGATCTGCACTTCAATAGCTTATTTGGAGTGTAAAAGTGACACTGGGGGTCTTTTGGACCCCCAGCATCACCTTAAAGAGTACCTGTCACCATGGGGGCTTGTAAGCCCCCCTATGTAATAGCAAGTAAAGTTAAAAAAAACAGTTTTTAAAATTAACATTAAATAAAATAAATCTAAAAATAATGTAAACATTTTCAAAGTCCCTTGCGTCTTCATGTAAACGCGCGTCGGGTGCGCCTACGTATGAAAACGACGAACGCGCTACACATGTTGGGCATCACCGCGCACGCCAGAGTGAGAGCAATAATTCTAGGGCCAGTATTTTTTGGTATCTCTCAACTGATGACCTGTGGGGGATTTTAAAGCGTTGTCTATGGACATTTTGGGGTACTGAATTTTGTCGTTGTTTTACGGACGCACACAATTTTTATCCTGGGCATGTTGGGTATCTATTTACACGTTGTAACCTCATCTTTTATATTTGATAAAAAATTGTTTTTTTTTGTGTTTTGGGGCATTTAAGTAAATTTTTCACAAAATTTTGGGGTTTGATAAGGAGTTCCGCTAATATCGTGCGACCTAAAAATTTGCAACTGTCACCATTTTATTCTATAGGGTTTGGCTTTCAGAAAATATATAATGTTTGGGGGTTTTAAGTAATGCACCCATGTTATATTCCACATTTTAGGCCGGAAAAATTAAAAAAAGGCCTCAGTCATGAAGAGGTTAATAAACCTGGCAGATCATTGGCGAGGTCGCTTAGAGAGGAACGAATCCGGTCCTTTGTACCACAGGTGTTGGACGAGTCAGGACGACCGCAACTTCACTCAAAAGCAATTGCAGATCAGTTTGGGGCGTTTTTCCTGATCCGTAATTAATCTAGATGCATGTGGACTGTGGTGGCTCGATGGCGACACCGGGACCTGCAGCTCAGACATACTTGTCGCATGCAGACATTCCTAGACTGATAGTGGAGGATTCGGCTCTACTTGAAGCCCCGATTGAGGCCACTGAATTGACTCTTGCGATGAAACTCTCTAAACCACGCAAGGCGCCGGGACCAGATAGATGCTCCTTGAATTTCTATGAATTATTCCGGGAACAATTACTACCTCCCTTCCTAAGGGCGTATAACGCAGTTCTAGACGGCTCTACGCTGCTTCTGGATACTTTAAGAGCCACCATTTCCGTCATTCCAAATGAAGTGAAATACCTGTCCCTTTGTTCGAGTTACAGACTAATTAATTGCTGAACGTGGACCTCAAGCTATTTACCAAGATCCTGGCGAGTAGAGTGCCGCGAATCATCGGTAAGTTAGAGGCCAAGAGGCGAGGGATAACCCCATCAGGGTTTTGAATGCAATCCAGCTGATTACAAGAGACTGTATTCCGTCAGTTCTATCCACAGATGCTGAAAAGTCCTTTAACAGGGTGAGCTGGCCCTTTCTCTTGACCACCCTGTCACGGATGAGTTTCGGATAAAATATCTGCATGTGGATCAAGGCCATCTACTCGATACCTACGGCTCAGATCCACTGACTTTCCTACCGAACTTGCTGACTGAATTGAACGACTATGGGAGGGTTTCCAACTCCAAAATCAATATGCAGAAATCGGCGGCTATGGCGTTTTTTTGACAGATGCCGGTCTATACTCCATACAGTCATCGTTCCTCTTTCAATGGGCAATGGAACACCTCCAATACCTAGGGGTCAGGATAACCCACTCGGTTGCTGGGGTATTTCAAGCAAGTTTTCCCCCACTCCTCACGCAAATCAGGAAAGATCTTGCTACCTGGACTAAGGGCATGCTGTCATGGTTTGGCAGAAACAGGGTGCTTAAAATGAACATTCTCCCACGCTTGTTATACCTTCTGCAAACCCTTCCAATTTTCACCCCCCCGGCGTTTCTGAAAATGGTTCGACGGGAATTCTCAGTTTTCTTGTGGGCGGACAAGGCCCACAGACTTAGCCATACTCTTTTATCCCTGCCTAAATTGAAGGGTGGCCTGGGTTTTCCTGACCCGATGCGCTACCACCGAGCTTCTCACCCGCTTCGAGTCTTAGAATGGTGCAACGTGAATTCAGAGAAGAGGTGGATTCAGTTGGAATAGGCTCTAATCACACGGTGATCACACCTGCGGTGCGTCTCATGGCTGGACCACTCCACTTGGAAAATTGGTAAATTCACATCGGCTAGTCGTTAATACTCTTAAGATAGCCCACTCTTGTTCGGGAGTCTTCACACAAGGTCCTTCTATGTCACTGATTCTACCGGTGACTGATTCTACCTTTCTCCTCTTTCTCTCCTCTAACCTTTTTCGGGTGAGCCACTTTGGAGATCAAGCAAGCCTAACCCCGCTACTAGAATTGCGGCTGCCTCACCTGGCGATGCTCCTGTCAGTGAGGCAGCTTGGCGAGGGATTAGTGCAGCTGCGGGCACTGGCCAGTCCCGGGGTGCGGCCAGGGGCTCTTCCACACAGAACGGGCACCGCAGAAGACAGCTAAGGAGCAGAGAGGGGTCCTCTCTGACAGGAAGAAGGGGTGGTGACGTCACCGGCAGCCTTGCCGGACCTTCGGCAGCTGTTTCAAGTGTGCCCAGCAGCTCCTTTCGCAGGGATCCTTCAGACGTCTGCAGATCAGAGGGGGAGGTGTCTGCCTCCAAAGATGAACAGATGCAGGGACTCTCTACTCAGGATGCTGGACATATGGCTTTTGGGACTGCTCCTTATCAGCCAGGTGAGAACCTTTTACTTTCTTCTTCACTACACACTGCTTTGGGGGAATTGTTTAGTGGGGCTCGTGAGGGTCTTACGTCCAGGGACCAGGAGGGTGGTCAGCAGGATGTGTCATCATTGGGAGCTGTCGATTCGGTTAATGCCAGGGGTGTTTCAAAACCTGGACTTGCTGGGTCTAGTGGTTCACAGGGGATACAGAATGTTTTGCTTAGCTTGCGTGATGTGTTAAATAGACTTGCAGCTGGACCGTTACCGGCAACGCCGGTTGCCACCTGGTTGCCCCATACGTCCACGGCTGAGGTCGTTATACCCGTTCCCGCCGCGACTCTGCCAGCGGCGGTTTCCTCCGCTGTTCAGACTGGGACTGCGGTGGACCCTGCAGACGCCGCATCATAGCGGGAGCTTACAGGTAAGGAGTCCCAGGTTGTCACAAAAACAACAGAAAAATCAGATACTATTCGTCTAGCAGAATCGGCGCGGTGTGAGGTATATGTGTGTTTTGAGGGTCCTTTTAGGTTCTCACCTTAAACAGGAAGTTAGAGAGAAAATTGGGAAGGGGGATTATGTGGAGATATTTTCACTGTTGCCACTTGAAAAATTTAATCTGGACAGGGTTAAGCCGGACAATTAAAAAAAAAAAGGACGAAGAAAAACGTCGTTATCGTCTGATCCCTCGAACCTTCGCAAACTGGCTTCAGGCCTTTACGTTTTTAGCTAGCGGTACTGGCAAAAAGACGCTGGAGCACTGCTCTGCTCTTTTCTGCTATTTAGATGCTACAGGGGAGGCCCATAGAGTTTATGGGGGTTTAGCGTGGCTACGTTATGATGAACAGTTTCGCCAGCGCAAATCTGTTCGTCCTTCAATTCGTTGGGACCATAAGGACATCAGCTTATGGATGAAGCTGATGACCTCTACCAGGTCACCTGCCCCCTTTTTTCAGTCGGCGGCCGGGAATTCCTCTAACGCGGGACATCTGGCCACCAGAAAAAAAGGTTTTTGCTGGCAGTACAAAGAAGGAAGTTGCAGGTTTGGAAGTGGTTGACGCTTCAAACATGAATGTTCCGGTTGTGGAGGAAGTCATGCCTTTAACAAGTGTTTTAAACAAGCCAGGTCCCGTTCTGGTGAGTATGCAGGAAAAAGGGATGACACCGGTGAAAGTGGAAAGGATGCTTCCTTTTCTAAGTAGGTATCCGGACTCAGTCACGACATCCCTGCTGGAGGCAGGGTTTTTGGAGAGTTTTTGTATTCCATGTTCTGTGTCGGTTATCCCACCTGTTGCAAGGAACTTAAATTCTGCTCTTCAACATCCCCTTATTGTTTCAGAAAAGCTTAGCAAGGAAGTTAGCCTAGGTCGCATGGCTGGTCCGTTTTCTTCTCGTCTTCTGGATAACATTGTGGTTTCTCCTCTTGGGCTAGTACCTAAAAAAGACCCAAATAAATTTAGATTAATACATCATCTTTCTTACCCTAAAGGTGGTTCCGTAAATGACGCTATCGACCCTGCGGCTTTTACGGTGTCTTACACTTCATTTCATACGGCGGTCGCTTGGGTCCGGCGCTATGGTAAGGGTTCGCTCATGGCAAAGAGAGATATAGAAGCTGCATTTCGGCTACTGCCTGTTCACCCTGATTGTTTCTATTGTTAGGCTGCCAGTGGCAGGGCTCATACTTTGTGGACAAGTGTTTGCAGATGGGCTGCTCTATATCATGTGCGCTATTCGAAAAATTGAGTTCCTTTTTAGAGTGGGCAGTCGGGGACATTTCTGGTTTTAATTCTATCATTCATTATCTGGATGATTTTTGGAGTCCAATACGTGCGCTGTCCAACTGGCTACTTTTCAACACATTGCATCTCGCCTGGGTGTTCCCCTTGCCCCAGACAAAACGGAAGGCCCATCCACTTTAATTTGTTTTTTGGG